CTGGATATCATTTCTTTATTTCCCATGAACGTCTGTGCAGTTCTTCGCGATTTTCGCCTTCTCCACATGCGGAGGCTACTCCGGGATGTTCGAGATGAGCGTGGAGTGTAAAAACAGGACGGACAGTGACCTCAGCATCGAAGTGGAGTTTGAGTACCCCTTCAGGTCAGGAGAGGCGGGAACAGCTGTCTGTCAGCTCTGGCTGTGTGCCTTTATGTGTGTGAGTCACACAAATGAAATAGTGCCACTGTTCATGTAAAAATACTTCTTCAGGTTTCCAGTATTTTCTGTGCCTCTGGTTGCTTATCTTTGCGCTTCATCTTCCGCCTGTCTCTCTGTCTCTCTGTCTCTCTGTCTCTCTGTCTCTCATCTCCTTCTCAATCTCCCTCTGCCCTTTTCCTACTTTCCCTCTTTTCCCTATCTGTCTTTCTCTCTCTCTCTCTCTCTTCCCATCTCTCTCCATCTGCTTTCCATCCCTGTCCAGGCTCCACCAGGTGTACTTTGATGCCCCCACCTGTAGGGGTCCCAAGACGGAACGCCTCTTCCTTGTGGGTGACTACTCATCCTCGGCCGAGTTCTTCGTCACCATCGGCGTCTTCTCTTTCCTCTATTCGCTGGCAGCCATCTCCGCTTACGTCTTCTTCCTGGAGAAGTACCGTGAGAACAACAAGGGAGCTCAGATTGTGAGTGTGCCCCCCCCCCCCACACCCCCATGGTCGGGAGATTTAATTGACAGGTTCCGACCATGTGACATGTTCCACCCCTCAGGATTTTGTGGTGACCTGCGTCTTCACCTTCATGTGGCTGGTGAGCTCAGCTGCCTGGGCCAAGGGTCTGTCTGACGTGAAGACGGCCACCGACCCCGATCGCGTGATCTCCCTCATCCCCGCCTGTGACCGCGAAGAGAACCGCTGTCGCGAGGTCCACGACCCCGTGGTGTCTGGCCTCAACACCTCTGTGGTGGGTCCTCGCCTAGGGGCTGGTGGAGTGGTCTGGTTTGGCACTGTGGGTGAGGGGGCTTCCACAACCCCAGGATGCCTTGTGCTTTGATGACCTTGCATGTTTCAGAGAAGCAGAAGGATCATCTATCTCCTGGAGGTTAATCTGATCTAAGGTGGCCTGATCTGTCAATCAGCCATATTCCGTCGGTGGATGTTCTGTGATGTTTTCTCACCTTTATCTCCTTCGCTTCCCCCCACAGGCGTTTGGATTCATTAACCTGATTCTGTGGGGCGGAAACCTGTGGTTCGTGTTCAAGGAGACGGGCTGGCTGGCCATCTTCACTGGGTACCCCCCGCCCTCGCAGGAGAAGCAGCCCGCACCCGAATCTTACGGCCAGGACGCAGGTTACAGCGGGCAGGCCTATGACCAGCAGGGGTCCTACGGAGGCTCCCAGGGAGGGTACCAGCCCGACTATGGCCAGCAAGGAGGATATGATGGGGGCTACGGGCAAGGCGGGTACAACCAGCAGGGGGGGCCTACCTCGTACTCCAATCAGATGTGAGGCAGACGGAAGGGAAGCGGCCAGGAGCCGGTGAGTCACAGGCACATACAGGCCACGATGCAACAAACTGTAAACTGAATTTTCGGAACTCTCTTTTTCTGTCTCCCCCCTCCTTCCTTTACATTCTCTCCCTCCTTCCTTCTCTGTTTTTAAAATTTAACCATATCAGCTTGTCTTCACTGACATAAGTAGCCTAAATTCTCAATTGTCAGTCGTGCTGTTCAGTCTAGTCACTTTCATCACAGAGTGACAAATGGCCAGAAAACTACTGAGCAGGTAAGGTGTTTATGCATGGATACTGGAGCCTGACTGAAGACACCTCATCGAAACAATATCACCTGATCCTTTTCAGTCACTGTATGACCAAGAGATTCCATTCAGTTCAATTAATTTCAGTTCAGTTAATTTCCATATAGCGCCTTTCGCAACAGAGTTGCCCTAAGGCACTTGATAAGAGTGTGCGGCGATCCATTATCACATTGTTTATGTAAAATGCAACATGGTGCGTGTGTGTGTGGGATTGTCCTCGCAGTGTAAAATGACATTTCAGCCAGCAGCTGAAACACCTGCTTAGCATCAGCTTTACAAGACGGCCACAGGATGCGCCCCCCCCCCCCCCACTGAAACGCTGACCATTTTCTCTCCACAGAAAGAGGGTGACAACAGCACTAAGGAGTACAAGGTCTGACCCTTACAGCGACTTCACACTCCTCTTTCAGTCTGCCCATCCATCTTTCCGTTGGTAATACGAGAGCGAGTTGAAAAGAAGAAGAAGAAGAAAAATGAGATCGTACCTTTTAGTGTGTTGTTTAATATTGTGGTGTGTCCAGAAGCAGAGCGTCCACTTTGATCGAAGGAAAACTTGAATTCAGCACCAAACCAGAAAATAAAACAAATGTAGAAATAACTTGTTTTAAAAGAATACAATGAACATGATAATACTAAATTTGAGAGAATGTATTTGTCTGTGTTGTGTAAATATGAATATGAACAAATATATATACAAATCTAAATATATATATATGAGTAATATCACTTATGAATCTATTCTAGTATATTTCAGTTAAATTTAACATTATACGTAGTTATTCGATTAACTATGCTCATTGTAAGCCTGACCCACTGTACTATTTACAGATTTTATTCCCTTTATTTGTTCTTTTTTCATTATTCCCTTTTTCCCTGTATGTTAAGCTCAGAAATGAACAAAGTCGAACTTTTTTTTATTCTTACTCATTCGTTTTAAGTTGACGGAGGGGAGAGAAAGAGAGGGCAAAAGTGAAAATGGGATCAGTGGAAAGTGGGAGAGAGTCAGAGAGGTAGGGGGATGATTTGCGTGTCTGTTGTCATCTGTAGCGTGCTACTGACAAAACAGCTTAAGGTCTTATTTAAGACACACCCCCATCCCATAATACCTGAACAGCAAATCTCGAAAAAAAGTTAGCATAATACTATATGGCAATACTAGCAAATGTATGGTGTGCGTTTTCATGCTGACGAAATTGATTAAAAGCTGCTTCGAAGGACGTCACACACACACACACAGACCGCCGATCAATCGACACACGTGGCTGTTTTAAGTTTTCAAAACATAGCTGCGTGTTTTGATAGAAATTGCAAACCTGAAGAGAGTGAAAGAGTTGCGCACGCTTTGTATAGTTTATGCATTATATGTACACACATTTTAAACATTCAAAGTATTATAGAGTTGTGTACTATGACTTTGTAAGTTGACAATGCTGACGCCACAATGTTTGGATTATTAAGTGTTCTAATGCTGTAGTTTGAGTAAAGTTATTCCACAATCAGGTATGATTTTAATATGCAAAGTTCAAAACGTCTGTCTGCAAATAATTTAAGGAAATATTTTTTATTTATTTTTATTAACATATATTACGTCTATAGCCTTAAGTACGAAACAAAGGGGACTGCGATAGACTCCGCACTCGGTACCCCCTCTGCGTCTGCAAGGTTTAATCTTAGGCATATGGAGCAGTCGTGCAGGTGCACCTCTTTCTCTCTCTCTCTCTCTCTCTCTCTTTGCGTGTGTACGTGAGTTTGTGCGTGTGCGCGCGCCAGTTCATGCGTGCGAGTGCTTGTGTCTGTCCGTGTGCGCGCGTGTCCTGAGACTGCATCTTTCTCCCTAATAAATACGCTACATAAATACTCTGTCATTAGTGGTGAACGATGTCTTGTAACTCTCTCTCGCCTTTGGGTAGTGCTGTGTTCGTGCGTCGAGTATTATTAGTATTAACGATAATGATTATGACCATGTCAGGTTCTCCAGTTCTGTTGTATTCTGATTCTATGGAATTCATGTGGGGGAAAAACAAAATAAAATAAACTTGAAATAATTTGAGTTTCGGTGGAATGACTTCGTTTGTGGTTAAATTCCCTAAAGAGTATTTTCTTTGCGTTTGTATTTACAGATTTACAGCCGGTTCACTTAATAGAAATGTTATTGCGACAGAGAACATGAGGGTACAATTCTGGAGGTGCGAGGCAACAGCATTACCCACTTAGCCAACTTATTATTATTATTATTATTAATAATAATAATAATAGTAAAATTAATATTTGATTCGATTAAATTAACATAATTGATCCCAGAGGGAAATTCAGAGGTAAGTACGTAGAGCAGAGATGAATTCATGAATATGCATTTAGTGCAAAACAGGCAAGGTGTAAAGACAGCACACAAACCGTAATCGCAGTGGAAACAAATAAAAAAGTACACAGTACACAAATTCAATCCTGGAGAATAGAATAATATGGCGCATCGATGAAATAAGTGCAAGGGAAAATAATGACAATAAACAATAAATTACGGTGATGTGCGTTATTATCATCCATAGGAGGAAAATTATATGATCAGTTTTTAGCTTTCAGTTACTACTCAATTACTCCGCTCATCACAAAAACACGTTTAGGCATATTATTGTCTGAATAAATCATGCCAAGGTCATTAAACCGTCTCATAGGAGGAGTGTTTTATAGGGCGTTTCGATGTAGCTGTAGTTCCCATCACTTGACACGTGATGGCAGTATGTTGGTAAAATCCACAGAATAACGCAAAATATGAACCGAGTGGATTTGATAGCTCCCTCATCCCACATTCAGTTATGTACACATTGGAAGCAACATACTGAAAAAAAATAGATGTTACAGGTAAGAAATCCACGACATCTGCTGCACCAGTATGCTATAAAAATAAAAGCGGTGGTTGTTCTGAAACAACAAATATTGCCAAAGGTTTGGGGTGTGGCCAATGGTGTGCCAGGGTATGCAAATATCACCCAGAACGATAGTTTGCAAACATAAATGAAATTATTTTTTTTAATCGTCGGGGAACCCCCCACAACAATTTTTTATTTCTTCAGATTCAGATTGACCGTCAAAAGAATAAATCAATAGTTATTATATGTAGCCTACACAATACCTTATTGTGATTGAATTCTTGCACACCTTATTTTCTCATGACACACCCAAAGTCAGTTTTCTGGCTACGCCACCCCACCAAAGGCAGAACACTATCCGAAAAGAACAAACAGCGTCACGAAAGCTTAACGTGGAGGTTGAAGTTGTTAATTAAATAACTGGAACTTGGTAAATATTTGATTTTTAAATATACTTTTATTAATATTCAAGATTAATACCTTGCTTTAACTGAGTACTCGATTAACCACAGAAAAATAGCCTTTCTGTCTGTGTCTGTCTGCCCAGTCTCTTTCTCACTCTTCTTCTCTCCCCGTTTCCCTCTTTGGTCTCAGTATTTCTCAGATGCATAAAATATTTTTCATTTAACGGAAGTAATTGTGTGATATTTAAATAAGCAGATGTCACAAATGGGGCGTACAGCGAAGCAAGTCTTACATACACAGTTACAACTCAATAGGGCTTCGTTTGCCGCAATCAGCGTGACACGCTGCTGTAACGGTGGTTATCAGCCCTGCAAAGTGACGGCGGTGTCTAATCAGAGTCCGTGCGGGTTCATGCAAAGGGGGCGGTGTGGGAGTTGCGAATCGCCGTTTAATAGGCAGGTAATACCACCGCCCCTGCCCGGCAGACTTTATCGGCAGCTCGGAGCGGGTTAGGTGCATAGCTGTCAAACTGGAGGTGGGTGCGAGAGATCAAATTTACCGAACGAAAAATTGGAAGTTTCAGGAGAAATGGTAAATCGGGAGTACAGCGGGAGGAGGGGCAGAAAATCCGGAGGTATCATTTCGGGGGTGTTGGCAGGCATGGTTAGGTGTGTAGCGTAAATAACCACGATGAAACACCCTGTTTAAAGGTGAGCTGCGATTCGTATTATCCAAAACTCGGAAGTAAGCCTCATGAAATCTTGCTAAGCCAGTAAACTCGCGTCGCTGTACAGTACACCCCTCAGGTGTGTTTTGGATTAATGATGAAGACAAGAGCAGAGAGGAGACTTCCTCTCTGTTTGTGGTAGGATTTCAGCTCAATTCAATCCAGTTCAATATTATTTGTATAGCGCATTTTCACATCTCAAACATTATCTCAACACGCTTTAAATTATCACCGCCCAAAGCCACAAAGGCGACAGTGGCGAGGAAAAACTCTCTGGAAGGAAGAAACCTTGGGCGGAACTGGATTCAAAGGGGGAGCCCATCCTCCTGGGGTCAGCAGAGGAAGTGAAACGAAGATGGCAAAATCCTAATTCACTCTGTCCAAATATTAAGATTTGAGTTTCACATGGACAAAGGCGAGAAGGCCGGAAAGATCCCACAGATAGCGGAGACGTCGCAGGCAGCAGGGTAGGCGGGGTATCTTGATATTTTAGGGTCTCCAGGTAGCACACCCCAGCACAGGTAGGGGTAATAAAAAGTGCAGTTAGCCAAAGTAGGGGAGACTAGAGGCAGTGCAAACAGTTAGGTGAGTGCAGTTTGTAAGCTCCGGCAGATACGGCTATGGCAGCATAAGTAGGAGGGAGAGGCAAGTGGGAACGCAGGCATGGGGAGTCCCTGAAACATCAGCACTCCAATTCCACAAGGGGGTGTGAAGCTAGAGTGACAACGCTGACAGTTCAATTCATCCAAAGCCAATGGCACCGATCCCCACCCAGCTCACACTGTAGGTCTAACTGGAAGTGAGGAGTTAGCTAGAGCTAGAACTAGAGTCCCTATAAGCTAAACTAAAGAAGTGTGTTTTTAGTCTAGACTTGAATATTTAGTGAGCCTGAATCTCGCACATCCACTGGGAGACAGTTCCACTTCTGCAGAGTTCTGTAAGAGAAAGCTCTACAGCCTGCCGTAGTCCTTTCTACCACAGGTACTAACAGATATCCTGCTCCTTGAGATCAAAGCAAGCGAGGAGGGCTGTGAGAGACCAGTAGATCTCTAAGGTATTCTGGTGCAAGGCCATTCAGTGCTTTATAAGTTGATAGCAGTATGAAGGAAGCATAGAACGGGGCTAATATCAGTCAATTAATAATCAAATTTTGAAGTTTTTGTAAGAACTGCTGCATTTTGTACTTGCTGAAGATTATTTAAGGATCCAGGTGGGCAACCAGAGAGGAGGGCATTACAGTAGCCAAGTCTGAAAGTTATAAAGGCATGTATCAGTTTTTCCGCGTCAGGAAAGGAGAGCACCTTCCAAAGCTTGGTTATGTTCCGTAGATACACAATTCTACACCTGAGACTTCAGATACTTGTGTGAGCATTGAAACATAGATCTGAATCAACCAGGACCACAAGATCTCTGACCACTGTATTAAGCTGAGTATGAAGACGTACAAGGTTAAGGTTGTCAAACTTATTTCGAGCAGCATGGGTCCAACTAGCAGTACTTCTGTTTTTTCTGTGTTTAACAAAAGGAAATTTTTTGCTACACCTGATGTCTAGTAGACAGTCTTCTAACTGAGAGAGCTGCAATGCATCGTCTTAAAATATATATATATATACACACACACACACAGGGATTGACAGAACTGGTACGCATTCACCTTTAAAAGTGATACGTGCAGCAATTGATTGTTGTAATAGCGTGCACGCGTATGTGTTTTATGTGCATTTGCACCGATATGACAGGAAATTATTTTGCATTTTAACCATTATATGCAAATTTGTACTTCATTTGCGGTATAGAGGTTGAAATGCACGGTTATTTTAACCTCTATATATATATATAATAGAAAAAAACTGCGTATCATCAGCATAACAATGAAACCCAAGACCATGATTTCTAATAATGTTACCAAGTGGTAGCATATATACAGTGAACAGTAGGGGGCCCAGTACTGATCCATGTGGGACACCATATTTGGCTTTAGTGGACATGGAAGATTCATTGTTCACATGAACAAACTGATAACGATCAGTTAAATAACAGTGAAACTAAGAGAGTGCTGTCCCCATAATGCCAACCAGCTTTTAACTGGTGCAAGAGGATATTATGGTCCACAGTATCAAATGTTGCAGTTAGATCTAGTAATACCAACAAAGATAGACAACCATGGTCAAAAGCCATAAGCAAATCATTCATTACTTTGCTTAAAGCTGTATCTGTGCTGTGATTTGGTCTAAAGCAGTGTTTCTTAAACTTTTTCTGTCATTCCCCACTTTGGAGGTATGGAAGGGTTGTAAGCCCCACCTGTCCCAAATCGTCCCCAACAAAATTGTAATAAACTGGGCTTTAAGTTTAACTGTTCAAATTTATTGAAATAACATTACATTTTAAAACCGTAACTTCATATACAGTAACAGCATTAAAATCTTTCACACATGGAACCTAAATAAAACATCTAATAAAAGTACAAATATATTATCACTTTGCATGAAATAACACTTTGTTCAAACATATATGATAACTATAATAATAATGCATTTATGTTTGCATTTTACCTCTGATAAACTCTGATAAACTGAGGTGGATTTTACCATTTGACTTTCCTGTTGACGATTTTCCGAGAGTTTTCTTTGGAAGAAGTCAAGCGGTTTATTCATGTGTTTGGGATGTTTTGTCTCTAAATGCCGTCTTAATTTGTTGGGTCTCATGCTGTCTGCAGCTAAAGTTTTTAGACACAGAACACATACAGGTCTCTCATCTGCCCCCACCACACCAGCTGTAAATCCAAGAGCAAGATATGCCTCATCATATTTTCTTTTTGGTTGGCCTTTTTGATGATTAGGTCTACTGTCTGTCTTGGTTTTCTCTGCCGGCGCCGAATCTCCAGTTTTCTTTTCGTTCCGTGTAACAAACCTATCCATTTTAATTATACCTGCAACTGTGTACCGCCTCTCCACATTTAATTATAACGCTTCAATTACTCCGACGTAAAATCACTGTCGTAAAGTACTGTGGTTCCACGTGACATTTTCAATGCCATTCGTCCGCTGATGTTGTTTTAATTTAGGATTACGTTTAAATGTGTCTTTGTTTTGTTTTGGGTGTATGGTAATTAAATAAATGAATTAATAGATTTAATAACACAAATGAAAAAAATAAATGAATAAACAAAAAAGTCCCCCTGTATTTCACGCCCCACTTTTCACGTCTCTGTTCCCCACCAGAGGGGCGCGCCCCACACTTTAAGAAACACTGGTCTAAAGCCAGACTGATATAACTCATGAGCATTATTTTTTCTGTAGGAAAGAAGACAGCTGATGAACTACAACTTTTTTCCAGAATCTTTGAGACGAAAGGAAGATTTGTGATTAGTCTATAATTTCCTAAATCACTAGGTTCAAGATTTGGTTGCTTTAGAACAGGTCTAATAACAGCTGTCATAAAAGGTTTTGGAACATATCTAAGCCTAAGAGACGAGAATATCAAGTTTGACAGGGTAATGCTAATCAGTGGTGCAATCTGCTTAAGGAGTTTCATAGGAATCGGGCCTGCAAGGCTAGTAGAAGATTAAGCTCAAAAGTTCTGATTGTTTTACAGGAAGGAAAGATTCAAAGTTGTCATTATCAACTCAAACATATACCAGGCACATTGAGCTAGAAAAGTGATGACATTTTTGCTGATGCCTTTTGTATGTGTGTATGCGTGTGTGTGCGTGTGTGTATGTGTGTGTGTGTGTAAGCATGTGTGTGCGTGTGTGTATGCGTGTGTTGTTTTGAATCTTTCGAGCTGAGCATTGATTTTCGTTTCAATGCCCTCTCGTTACTGTCACTTTCAAACACTAAAAATCTATTTACAGAACTGATTAAATACTACAATTTTGTAGAGAATACATTGAGTGTTTTGCGAGCCAAAGTCACATGGCTATGTACATTACCCCCCCCTCCCCCTCCCCGCCCACAAGTCCTCATCACTCTGACTGCAGTTGAAACTGATTGGATCTTTTCACTTCCTAACTTCCTCTCCACTTAACTTGTCTTCCACTGGAGTACAGTTGTATTTCTCCCGTTAAAAGGTTAAACTCAACTGGACATTTTCTTTTTTTTTTGGACAGAGATATGGCCGACACCAAAGACCCGGGGCTGACTGCAAACTGCTTAGAAAAGTGTAAGAACTATGTGACGACCAGAAAGGGAACTATCCTGGCTGCTGAAATTGTAAGTCATCCATTTAAAATTTGAGCATGGTTTTCATTCCAGTAGTGAGCAGGAAGGGTTTCACTGCAGACTGTGGCAAGTCATTTGGCCAGTCTGTTAGTCTACCCAGGAGAGTGTCTCATCCCACACAGGTTTTTGAAGGGGATGCGTAGCCGGCAGAGCCGGGAAGGACGTGAGCCTATCTAGCAGAATCTGTGTAGCTTCTGTCCTTTTAGAATTTGACTCGCCACAATGTCAACTAAGCCGTGAAAGGCCACTTTATGTCATTGTGCAGCATTTTCATATTCTGGGAATTACATTTTTTTGACTTTGTCGACTGTATGTATTCAGCACTTTTATGGATCAAGCGACTTATTTCCCAGGAAGCCATCAAAATTTCTTGGAGAGTTTTGTACATATGTTATAAAGATAGCTTTGTAACGGTCAGAAGGTGACTGAGAGAAAGGTCAGTATCTGTGGTTTAAAATTTTCAGAAGCTAAGCAGGAATACCTCCTCAGGGTTCTTGACCTTAAAAATCATAAAGTTCAAAAGGATAATAAGAGAATTGTACCAGTAACAATAACAGCAACACTATACAATAACAATCTTCACTATTGCTCTCATAAAAGTCTGTTTGAGTTTCTGGATTGTTTAAAATGTAAAATAACTGCAGAAGATGGATGGACTGATGAATAAAACCTGAAATGATGTATGTAATATGAAGCAAAAAGATTGTATTTCTTTGTTCCTTTTTGACATATGTCATCTTCGTATATGTCAACCTGCCTGAGCGCGAGAGAAGCCTTACACGCTCTGTGATCATACGGAGTGTCCTACAAGTTTCTGAGTACATTTCTGTCTTCTGTATTTGACTTTGATGGGTATGTGGTTGGGGGTGGGGGGGTGAGGTAGCTGTACCCGTCACGGGCACAATGGCCCATTGTTTGGGCTCAATCTCCAGTGGGTACACAGAGGCAACTTGTGCCAGACCCCCGAGGAGCATAAAGGATGGATAGATGAGGCTGATCCTCATGCATTCCCTGCCCACGGTGGAGCCCACCCTCTGCATCCAGCTGCCATTGTTGGTCTTATTCAGATGGCCGCACATGGGAATGATCCAGGTCTACCGGCCGAACCAAACCTCATCTGCCTGTTGCTGTTCTGTCCCAAGTATAATGAATCCCAACTGGTTCCAATTTACTCACTAGCTACCATTTACTTAAATACGGACAGCATACGTTTTACTGAAGGTTCAGATGCACTGCGATTGAGATTGAGTCAATTCCTCAGTTGATATTTAGTTCATGCTGCTGTTTCGGGGCACCTCTGAAATACATGTGTGCCGCCAGTTTGAAAGCATGACAGGCAAGATGAAAGTCGAGCTTTGGGCTGGTCTTCGCTTCAACTTTCACCTCGCCTGTGGTGGGAGAAGGGGTGGGAGGGTACTGGGGTACTGGGCTGTGTTGAGGAGCTGCAGAACTAGGTGCAGAGAGCAGCTTTCCCTCAAAGCAGAGGAACTGAAAGAGCCTGAATTTGCATTGTGTGTTGGGGGGAGCAGCTTAGAGCTACAGGTGTTTAATTCTCAACAAACAGAATTAAATCCAGTTAAAGTAAAAGCACGACTGATAGTTCACACCTCCAAGGTACAACAGTGTCGTTAAACTTTAATTGTGATGCTAAGTCACTTGTGGCCATGGTTGTAGAAAGACCAGAAGAATATTAGAGAGTATCATTAAGACTTTACTCCTCAACCATCTCTCAAACACTTCCACACAAACTCAGACTCTGTAAAAGAGAGCTAGCAATGAATAGTTTGATGGTGTGGAGAATGAGATGAAAGTGATAATGCAACAGGAACACGTAGCCCAGCCCCTGGGCAATGGCACAAAAAAAGCTTTTTTAACCACCCCTGGGCACAACAGACAAGCTGAGTTTCAGCAAAAGTGCAGGATTCTGTTAGATTTTGCCCCCAGGGTTAGTGTGGAAGCCAACAGTCACAAGGCTGAAAATATATTCTGCAGCTTCCGCTGTTCGCCGGGTGCTTTCAGAGGATGTTGGTCCCTGAGACAGGGGTGCTGATAGTGCTGCTCCTCTCGTGAACCTAGCGGCCCTCTTTGTAACTCCCTTTCTTTCTCAGCTCATCAGCCTGATCATCCTGGTCTGCTACGCGGCCTCGCACTCCGGCGGCTACTCGGCGGTGGCCATCTGCGAGATGGTCTTCGCCATCTTCATCTTCGCCATCTTCGTGACCAGCATGGACAAGCAGCTGCAGGTGGTCAACTGGCCGTGGCTTGTAAGTGTTCCGCAAAAAAACAAAAGCACAGCAAAAGCAACACAAAGCAAAAACAACAACAACAATTTGAATTTAATAATGTAATGTAAAACTTTAAAAACAAGAAAAATGGGAAAAAAAAAAAAAGGGAAAAAAAAAACTGAAGTGAATGACAGATGCCTTCACACACCGCACTCCCTGTTTCGGCGCCCGCTGCAGGACTTCTTTAGGGCTGCGATCGGAGCTGCTCTGTACCTCATCACGTCGGTGATCTGCGTGGCAGGCGGAGCTGGAGATGGGGCCCGGATCGCAGGGGGGGTAAGTAACAAGGTGGAGGTGTTTTCCAGGATCTTTTTAAGCAGCTCAGATTGAGTGCATGGTGTGTGTGTGTGTGTGTGTGTGTGTCTGTCTGTCTGTCTGTCCGTCCATTCGTAGTGCTACATGGGCCTCCAAGACCCTGTACTGGATAATTTTCTGGAAAACGGATAGATGGAGATTCCGGATTTACTATAATAGATGCATACAGACACATGGCAGGTCTGGTTCATGCAGCGGAATCATCACTTCCTTTTCCTCGCCCCCCCCCCCAGGTGTTTGGCTTTCTGGCGGGGGTGCTGTTTGGTTATGATGCCTACTCCACTTACATGGCGATAAAAGCCCCTGCAGGTGAGTAACTTCAGCACCTAAACAGCTACGAACCACCGCAGACTTGAAGTGCCTGCGATATGAAGGCGGACCGTCTTTTTCAGGTGAATGAATCGATGCCGCCGTGAAAGTTCTGCCAAGCAGATGGACAAAAAAAAAGACAAAAAAGGAAACGAAAAAAAAATGTCTACAGTGGAGGTTAACCAGGAAGAGTAAAGGAGACGAAAAATAAACAAGGAAGCCAGAGGAAGTGAAACTGTATGTTATGTGCTGAAGTTCTGAATGGATAAAGGTTAATGGAAAGTATGACTAGTAATGTCAGGGTTTTAAACTTCAACTTCAGAAGCGATACATGGTGTTAACCTTCATCATACCATCGCACTACAGACACTAGTTTAATTTCTCCCATCAACACAAGCATTTTTTACATGTAATATACTGTAAAGTTATTAACATTGTTTATACTCACCTCACTCACCTGTTTGCGTTTATTTTATCCTAAATTTAAACTACATGAATACAGGTTTCGGTATCTTTCAGATGTGTAATATTTCTGTTCCTATAAATTACTATAAATATTACGTGGGACGTTCCTTCATAACCACAGCTTACATCGATACCAAACGAAAGCTGCTTTCCTAAGCAGAGTTTTTATTAATAAGTTCTGCTCCCTCTGAGAAAAGTATCTCTATTTTTGGAGGCATTTTAAAAGAATATTTAATTACATTGCAGTTGTTTAATTCTAATGTTCTTTAAGAATCATCCAACTGAAGATCAACAAGTAATTTATAAAAAACTATTGGTGCACTTCTCGCTTTTATAAATATAAATATTTTTTTAATGTTCCTAATACTATATATATATATATATACTTTAAGTGAAATCCCAAAATTAGTTATCTTCTATTTTGAATTTTGGTCCAACATTGCTTATTTAATAATAAACCAGTATCCTGATCAATCATTTGACACTGAATAAAACCAACCAGAAAACAGGAGTATGATAAAAAAAATTACACTGTATAATTTGACTTCCCTTAAATTATGTGTTGTTTCGGTTTCATTTAATAAATCTTTTCTATAGAGATGTATGTAAAATTAGAGAATATAGAGAAAATTTTTAAGTTTGATGTGTGCTGGCAGTAGATATTAAGTTTGAATTAAGGATAAGTGACTGGTGGTACGTTTATGTTTCTGTGTGTAATAAAATGTTCTCACTAATACGTGTGTGTTTTCTTACAAGTGGAAATGCACCCATCAAAAATAAATTCAACTTAAGTCTGGTAAAATATATAATTTAGACATTGTTATGTCAGTAGATGACCACAAGGTGGCAGCACATCGACTTGAATGAGACTTCTGCGATGGCGCGTTTTCTTCAACTCCATTTAAATAAATAGCACGAATGACTCATCAAAAAATTATCGGTATCTGGTAGGAAAGTCATGTTTTATAGCTGTACTCTCAGGTATTTGACTTGAACACTCACAAACACGCAGCTTGACATAAATGCCTCAGAGCCAGCACACAAGCAAGGGCCTCAACGTAAACAAAAGAACGACAGCCACATGACTGATTAAACACAGGCTTCCAAAGTCAACAGAGTCTGCCATCTGTACCTGGATGTTTCAAATGTTGTTCGATAATATGCTACACTCCTTCGTGCGGTTCTTCTGTTATCCTCAGATGTGCCTCCATATTCTACACGGTCCCAGCGGAGGGCTGACTTTGGGAGTGTATAAGTAAGCTGTGGAGATCTGTGTTACCACACAGACATCCATCGTTCAGATGCCATTTAGCTTTCAAACGGTCTCTTACCTAGAGTTTTCGTCCCAGAAACAGGAACTTCTAAAAAAAAACATTTCAAAGTTTAATATCAAGTTGTTTCATACAAGGGTTCCACATTTCTAAAGTTTGTGTGATACTATATTCCTGGCAAGCGGTATATTTAACATTATTTACAGGGCAATGCAGTCATGAATTGCATCCTGATTAACAGAGACTATGCATAGTTGCATACATCATTATTTTACTTATTAGACTCCTTGGGTGGTTGTGTGTCCCTGATCAGTAAGTCACGGGTTCAAATCCCATCACTGGTACAATAACGTCACTTGAGCTCGGTCCCAATTGCTCCAAGAGGAATTTGACCCTGCTCCTCATTCGTTTGTCACTTTGGACAAAAGTATCTGCTAAATAATTAAACGTTACTTGTATGAATAAAGTTATCTTGAGTCAAACGATTATGAAAAGTCAACAATGACGTCAATGCTTTCTGAGTAAACACTGTACCATTCAAGTACTGAACGAAATACTTAAAACCACATTATTCGGTTCCGTATATCTATATCTCTTTCTATAAACTTCCAGTATTGATGGCGCTTCTGCCTCTATCTACAGGGCTCTTCGTTTCCTCATGTCCTGTTCCTGTCCTCCCTGGGGGATTCATGGCTGTAACAGTAGACGGCAAAGCCCGGCTTTTGGATCGGAGGCGGGGTTGTTGCGTGTGTGCGTGTGTATGTGTGTGCTGAGTTTAGGGAAAACCTGGCCGAATGGATTTCACTGCAGCCTCCGCAGGATTACTTACATGTCCGTGTCCGTAAGATAACAACTGGAGGCTTATGTACGGCGGCTGGCGGCTCTAACTCCTCCCGAAGACAGTGCCTTATTGTGAAGCACCCAGATTACTGCATGTTCACGCTTGGATCCAGAAAGCGGCGATCTAAGGGCTCGGTGAGAAAACACGCCAAGTTTAGATCAACTCATTTCACTTCTTTCATTCTCTGTTTTATTGTGAAGCGCTTTGATGCGGGAGCGCCGGTTTTGAAAGTGAAACCTCGTCTGGGACGGCGAACGTAAACGTAAATGAAATTACATGTGCACCATATAGCAGACCACTCGCACTTATTAAGAGTCTGTTCCCGGTTTTATTCTGACTGCAGGGAAGTTTTGGAAATGTCCTGTGCTGCTCATCGGGACCAGGGGGGATTTTTAAAAAGGATCTTTACAGTTTTAACAGTGCGGTGTCTGATGTCGCTGCCGATTTTCCTATGAACTTTCTATACGCCTTTTTTTGTGTTGAACTGGGATTAAATAGCGTTTTCTGTGTTTCGGCTGTGCGAGAGTTTTGGGTATTGCTGGGCTTTTTTCTCTGTAGTTCTGAAGTCTGACCGAACTATGTCGCACCAAATGTCGCCTTTTAGGACGAGAAAGTGCCGAGTTGCAGATATATTACCCTGGTGGTCTAACAGCACGGGTCGGGGGGCACAACGAATCTCAGCGTATTCGGCCCGTTATGAAAATATCTTCTCATGTATACTTTCCCCAGGAAGTTGACGAGGCCCTTTTAAACTGCACATCCCTTCCTGTAGCCCGTCTGGCAAATGTTTTTATTCCTGTAATTTTCTGCTTTGTGCCCCACACTCGTGCTTGAAATATTAAGCAAACGCGGCGGTTTCAGCACAAATCAGAAGTTGCGGGTGGCGAGTAAAGTCTCCCATAAAGTGTAGGATACCTTTGATTACATCCGAAATTATTATTGTCTATTCTTAACTATACTGATCTGTTCTGCAATCTAAAATTACATTACATTTACACTTAACATGCCATGGCTAATAGTGTGATAGCACAGCATCCTTTTAACTTGGAAAAGGGGAGGATTGTGGTTTTAAAAACAGCGCGCAAAAAAAACCTGGAAAAATTAAGAATATGTTTGGGAGGAAAAACCGCTGAATGACTTTGCGCATGTCTGAGTATATACCCGAAATGATGTATAATAATACTAGAAACAAGACTTATATGTGGACTTATTTTTCAGTTTTGCTGTAAAACACGTGTGACCCGCAGGCCGTGTTTTTGTGCATACTCAGACATATTTTTCCCCACCCTGCTCGGTTATGATAACACCACAGCATCGGCCCTGCAGCCCTCCTCCGCGTTCTGACAACGTGCAGCGCTCACAGGAAACGGGAGGCCAGTGACCTCGGCCGCCTGCCGTTAACGTTTTAACGCGCAAAGCGGGCTGGGGCTGGATTAAGGGGTTCAGATGTGCAGGTCGATGACCCATTGGACTTAAAATATTCATTTGTTAGCACATTTCCAGCAAGCACATGCTGAACTTGTACATAGGGTTGATCTCATGGGCACTTCCATCAGTAACTCTGTGTCAGTTTGGTGAATATAGTCCCATTTACATTTGAGGAAGAGTCAACAGGCCCCTCTTGTGGTGGTTCAAGAGGCAGCATTTCCTGGTCACATGACTGGGGTTGCAGGTTTGCATCTGGCTGCCTCATTTTAACAAAGTGCCTCTTGTGTAAACTTGGGAGTCTAAGCAGAATGAGCTTGTTGAAGTTTGGCTGCTGTATTAAGGTTGATTCATACAACGGAGGTATGGTATTGCCGCATATTATGCGCCATAGCTTACGTGGTATCTGGACACGGACCTCCCCAGAAATGCAGCTACACATCGCGGGGACACGAACCGTTCGCAGTGACTCAGGCCACGGCGTAAGCTCTGCATAGACTCGACGCCAAAGTGACGTTCAGCCTTTATACATGATGCTCATGTAATCCCGCATAGAGTCAAAGCACGCCTATGCTTCTCACAGACTGCAGACCTGACTCGGAGTCTGTGTCAGACTCCTGTGTTTCCTTTCATCAGTTTTTGTTGACGTCCCCCCTCACCCACCCAGAGACACAGGCTCGCACGCAAGCCGTCCCTCGGTGTTTTCAGGTGCCCCCCCCCAGGCCCTGACTGGCAGTTGAGGTGGTAAACGGGTGAATCGCAATCCCAGTGTGTTTCAGCACACGTTTCCATGGCTGCGGTTCCCACCCCCATTTCAGGCAGTGCTGTTTACCTTCCTTGTTTTCTGTACCTGTGTTTGTCTGGACGTGCGTGCGAACCAAGCCGGGGGCCGGGGGGAGTCGTGACCTGGGGGAGCTGCTAATCACTTTTTCCCGTCACTAAACTGTAGTGATGAGAGCCGTCTTGCGGGATGGTCCTTATGCTCGCATTACCTGACTATCAGTGGTAGCGTTCAAGTCCACCAGTTCACACAGTCCGTGTGCAAATATTTGTACGACATGCTGTTGAATTTCTGCTTGGATGTCATTCTCAGATTTCAGTAAAGCAACTGAATAAGAAAGTTTGAAAGAGCAGAGCTTTGCCTAAAAACCCCGCAGAATAAACACGTGGTTCCCCTCTGCACATGCTCTGGTGTGGTATGAGTGTTTCATTCGGCTCGCGGGTGAAGGAATGTTCTTTATGTCGACGCTCTTCGTGGGAACATGTGACGTGTGAAAAGCAAAGGAACTTCAGTCCTTAGGAATATAGACTTGGGTGCTTTGGTCCAGAAAGTAAAATTGAAAGATTAAGGAGCCTGAAAGTGGTCAGTGTTCAGCTTCTCAACCTTTTCAAGGTCATGTCCATATGGTCGCCTCCTAACTGGACCAGTTTAGTTTTCTCTCCTTCTGGGTATATCCCAACTGGACCAGTTCAGTTTTCTCTTCTTCCAGGTATCTCCTAAGTGGACCAGTTTAGTTTTCTCTCCTACTGGGTACATCCCAGCTGGACCAGTTCAGTTTTCTCTCTTTCACTCCACATAGAAAGGGAAGAGTATGGAAACTCTGAGGAAAGTGTTGGGTGTGACCTATTTCCTGTGGCCATTTCCTTCCTAAAATATTGTTTTAAATGGGTAGATGGAAAGCGGGTTGGCATTCTGGCAAATGGCATTTTGACAGACTGACACAGTCTGGCACAGGTAACTCAGCACAGTGCTGTTGTCACTATCTAATCTAGGCCATTATTGAACCACATCATCACGACGTTGGCATTGATCATGACTGTTTGCTGATGTAAGCTGTGCGTGTTCAGTGTCACTGTGAAATGTGTGTGTTCATAGTGTTCATAGTGGTGGAAGTCTGAAATTGCATTTAAATTCACATTTAGCTTACAGTTAATTGGTTAATCCTATCAGTCCTTTGTGGGCTGCAGATGTTGGGACACATGGCCGTGTGATTCAGCAGGGTGGGGGAGGGGGTCTGTCTCCATCTGACACGTCTGCATGTTGGACCTTCTGTTGGGTTACATAGCTGCTCTAGGAGGAAGGGCCCTGCAGTGAGGGTGTCGGGCTGAGTATCACCTGAGTAAGTCTGCTGTAGGTCACTATCAGAGCTGGATTTCCGCTGTATCCCTGCACATCTCAGGAGGACACATGATGAAACACCAGAGATGAAAGTGTGAAGGACAGCACTCCAGACGTAGGAGCAGGTCCTTAACCACCGTGCCACCCACCCCTCCTGATGTGACATTTTGCTGACATTTTGGTCCCTGTCTGATCTTCCTTGATTGTTACTTTTTTGTGCAGGGAAGCGACAGCATCCCAGACTGCCGCCTGCCCTGTGCTCGCTGTGGTGACCAGTGCCCCGGCTTCCACATGCACGGATGGAGGTAGGTTCTGCTTTACTATAACACGGTGACTGTGGCTGTGATCTCTGTGCGTGGAAGGTGCCTGTGTCACCAGCAGGGGTTGTGTGACAGGCATGGCCGTGAACCCACGCCACTGCTAGCAGCACACAGGGCACCTGAGCTAGAGCTTCTGCGTGGGGAACCAGCTCGAGGAACCAGTCAGACTTGTTCCTCAGCTCTGGGTGATGGCGTCACCCCCACAGCAGACTCCAGCCGGCCCGAGGAGCTCCGCTAGGCTGGTGCCGGGTCTGGTTGCATTCCTGGACAATGACACCTCAGAGGAACTCGAGATCCGGCCCATTAAATTAGAGGGTCCGACTGTATTGACAACATGGCGAAGATCCACTAGTCTCTGCGGAACACGTACGGGGGATCCCACTGCTTATGGGTAGCTGTGCTTTTCATGATGCGGCAAATAGGTTAATAAAGATTCAACAGCAAAAATAGGGACGTACAGGGATGTAGCAGCAGTAGATGTGGCGAAAGCAGAGAACAGTGGAGGACCAGTCGCAGTTATACATGGGGAACCACAAGGTGATCCTGCTGCCTAGCCCCCCTACACACCTGCACTAGGAGGGGGGGCCTGCAGTGTAATCCTCTGTCAGGGTGGGGAGACCTATCACCTGCATCTGGGTAAGTCTGCGCTGACATGCTGGCAATCATGGAGTTGAAAGTTCTTACGTGTTCATGACCAGCTGGGTTGCTGGTTAAGCTGCAGCGCCCTTTGCTGACCGAGTGCAGCCTGCTCTGTATTCAGCTGAGCCCCTCTTTTATACGGTGCTTCCAGCAGCGTCTGCTGGGGAATCTGGTTACCTTCTATGCGCCTGCAAGATGCCCGGCTCCACACACACCTGCTGGTCAGGCTCAGAGGCGAGGTCACAGGCGTGCTCCTGTCCTGCAGCAGTGTACAGTCGTGGGTCCTGTCCTGCAGCAGTGTACAGTCGTGGGTCCTGTCCTGCAGCAGTGTACAGTCGTGGGTCCTGTCCTGCA